TTCCCTGACCTTCATCAGTAAAATCGTCTTGATTACCAAAAACAGCTGTTTTAGGATAAACTTCACTTTGAGATGAATAGAAGTTGATTTGTTTACCTCCTCAGAGACATCAACACAAACATCACAACCAACAACGACATGATGAACAGCACGCTGAAAAACACTGTTAACGTCTCAGCAAATAACACCATGAACAACCTGATGAACAACACAACGAACATCACGACCAACGACACAATGAACGATATGATGAACAACACGATGGAAGACAGAACGAACATCACGGGTGTCTCCACTTTCGTGTACGTAGATTTATTACTGACTTATTTACTGTACCTTTAAAATCTGTTGAAACTTGACTCTGTTTGTTTTTCAGGTTTGTTCTTCCAATGGAGAAAGTGTAAGATTCACCTGTACACATCTGACTCACCTGTACACATCTGACTCACCTGTACACCTCTTATTCACCAGTACACACCTGACTCACCTGTGCACACCTGACTCACCTGGACACATTTGACTCACCTGTACACATCTGACTCACCTGTACACCTCTTACTCACCAGTACACATCTGACTCACCAGTACACACCTGACTCACCTGGACACATTTGACTCACCTGTACACATTTGACTCACTTGTACACCTCTTACTCACCAGTACACATCTGACTCACCTGTACACACCTGACTCACCTGTACACCTCTGACTCACCTGTACACACCTGACTCACCTGGACACATTTGACTCACCTGTACACCTCTTACTCACCAGTACACATCTGACTCACCTGTGCACACCTGACTCACCTTTACACCTCTGACTCACCTGTACACCTCTTACTCACCAGTACACATCTGACTCACCTTTACACCTCTGACTCACCTGTACACATTTGACTCACCTGTACACACCTGACTCACCTGTACACATTTGACTCACCTGTACACATTTGACTCACCTGTACACACCTGACTCACCTGTACACATCTGACTCACCTGTACACATCTGACTCACCTGTACACATCTGACTCACCTGTACACCTCTGACTCACCTGTACACCTCTGACTCACCTGTACACATTTGGCCCACCTGTACACCTCTGACTCATCTGTACACCTCTGACTCACCTGTACACATCTGACTCACCTGTACACATCTGAATCACCTGTATACCTCTGACTCACCTGTACACATCTGACTCACCTGTACACACCTGACTCACCTGTACAGATCTGGTTTACCTGTACACATCTGACTCACCTGTACTTGCTTAAATAGCAGTAGGCGGAGTCAAAGTGGTCTCTGTCTCTACCTGTCCATCCTCAGTGTCTCACCTGTGGTCTCTGTGCCTTTACCTGTCCGTCCTCAGTATCACACCTGTGGTCTGTGTCTCAACCTGTCCGTCCTCAGTGTCTCACCTGTGGTCTGTGTCTCTACCTGTCCGTCCTCAGTGTCTCACCTGTGGTCTGTGTCTCTACCTGTCCGTCCTCAGTGTCTCACCTGTGGTCTGTGTCTCTACCTGTCTGTCCACAGTGTCTCACCTGTGATGTACAGTCCACAGTGCGTCCTCCCCACCTGTCTGACAGCGAACCTCGGCTCCTCCCTGCAGAGTGGAGACGAGACAGCCGGCGGCGCCACGACTGACCCGTTTGGTGTCGGAAAGAAGTGACAGGACGCAGCAGCCATCATCTTCATCATCATCATCATCATCATTATCATCATCTTCATCATCACATGAACTGGTCTCCATGGTGACAGGTGCTGAGGTTCATGGGTATTCAGAGACAGTAAAGCTGATTGGTCAGAAACAAACTGGTGCTTAGATCCTGAGCGATGACATCATCAGTCTGGAAAGTCTCTGGGCTCCATTAAATAAACCGTTGAAATTAAAATACGTCTGACACTTCCTGAAGCTGTGTGATTGGATGTCTGTTGGTGAAATGCACTCTGGGAGCTGTAGTTCATTCAATTATGATTATAATAACATGATGTAATGTCATATATACAATATATAATAATATGTGTAATAAATTCTGATGTGATGCTGTCAACACTTTGTGCTGTGGGCTGTCACATGTCAAACATGTTATATTATCTTACATTAAATTATATTTTATTATCTTATATTATATTTTATTATATTATATGGAATTACATTATATTATTTTATATGAAATTATTTTATTTTAATTCTATTTTATTTTTTATTTTACATTACATTATATTATCCTTTATTATGTTATATTATTTAATATTATATAATATATTACATTATATTATTTTATATCATATTACATTATATATAATCTGAATATTTCTGTATTTTCTGCAGCTGAATCTTCAGTAAAAACTAAATAATGATCCACATGAGATGAAAAATAAAAGGGACCAGCAGGTGGAGAGAAAGATCCACGTCTGAATTATTATTTACTGCTTTTATTTTTAATTATTATCATTATTAAATGATCTTTAAATGTTTGAGTTGTGACTGACGGAGCTGCGTAAAATGTTTTAATGTTTATTTATTTATATCTAATATTTCCTGTGTTCATGTTCCTGATCACTGACAAAAACTGTCAGACATCTGAGTGCTGTTTGTTTGGTTGATTTGTTGATTGAGGTCATTAAGATGATTCTGAATTTCCTTCAGTAGAATCATCAGCATCCATCAGATTGTCTGTTCAGCACTGAACTTTACATATGATGTTAATAAAGACGTATAAATACAAAGTCAATAAAACACATACGAAATTCAATGTGCCCCAAATGTCGTCTGACAGGTTTAAACATCACAGCTGAAACCCAGTGTGCCCCGATTGTCGTCTGACAGGTGTAAACAACACAGGTGTAAACAACACAGCTGAAACCCAGTGTGCCCCGAGTGTCGTCTGACAGGTGTAAACAACACAGGTGTAAACAACACAGCTGAAACCCAGTGTGCCCCGAGTGTTGTCTGGCAGGTTTAAACATCACAGCTGAAACCCAGTGTGCCCCGACTGTCGTCTGACAGGTGTAAACATCACAGCTGAAACCCAGTGTGCCCCGACTGTCGTCTGACAGGTTTAAACATCACAGCTAAAACCCAGCGTGCCCCGAGTGTCGTCTGACAGGTTTAAACATCACAGCTGAAACCCAGCGTGCCCCGACTGTCGTCTGACAGGTGTAAACAACAGAGATGAAACCCAGTGTGTCCCGAGTGTCGTCTGACAGGTTTAAACAACACAGCTGAAACCCAGTGTGCCCCGAGTGTCGTCTAACAGGTTTAAACATCACAGCTGAAACCCAGTGTGCCCTGAGTGTCGTCTGACAGGTTTAAACATCATTAAACATGGAATCTTTTCTCCGACTGAAGAATCTGAATGTTGTGTTTACGTCTGAAAACTATGTCATGAACGTTAAAACAGTCCTCGAGGATTCGATATGTCATCAGTTCATACGGAGATGTTTATACCACAGACAGATGAAGGTGAAGATGAAGATGAAGATGAAAATGACGCTGTATTGATATATGTGTGTGTTGGTGTTTGCCTTACTCACTATTGGTGTGATGAAGATGAAGGAAGTCTTCATCAGCTGATCTCAGAGGTCCGTTAAACTCCACAGACTGAAGCTGACAGGAAGTGTCTCTTCAAAGTAAAAGTCGTTTAATTGACGACCTGTAACAAAGATACAATCGATCATTATCAATAAACTGAAAGAGGAAGTGATTCTTCTAAGGGAAACTGAATCTGATTGGCTGAAAAGGTTCAGTCACATGAACATGAAGTCACATGTCCGTCAGCACAGACAGAGGAAGAAGAGACTGACGTGTGTGTGTGTGTGTCGACTGAGCTGCAGACGTTTAACCTGCTCGATAATCAATTGGTGATTTATTAGAGGAGATGAATGTGACGCAGCAGCTTCATCAGTGAAACCTGGTCAGACGTCTGAGTGTTTATCAATCGATCAGTTTATCCTGAGACAATCAATAACAGCAGATCAACATCGATCTGTTCATTCACAGCAGAGAAACATGACAAGACGTCGTAAAGAACAAAACAATCAGCTGCTTTAATGTCTCATATACTGTCACAGTTTATACAGGTTATATCTAATGTTATATGATGTGATGTGTCAGCATGGTGACAGGGTGAATTATTGTTTTATAAATAAAATGAGTTGTGAGCGCAGCAGCAGAAACACACGTATATCTACACAGAGAGAATATATATATATATATATATATAATTAAAACATGAGACTAGTTGGTGTAGTTACAGAGTGTTTTATAATTAAAATGAGTTGCGAGCGCGGCTGCGGCTGCAGATCTGTATGAATAATGTATGAGACGTTAATAAAGAACACATGTGCTGCTTCCTCTCACACATGTAAATGAGCTCATTAACATGTTGAGTGGACACAGACACACACACAATGCTCTCCACAGGTCAAAGGTCACCACTCAGCGTCGCCAGCCATGATTTAAATATGACTGATTATAGATCAGGTCTGATCAATAAACTGTGAACATATCAGTGACAGTTTTTATACAACACGTTCACTTCAGTCACCATGGAGACGTGATGTGTTCAGGTACCTCTGTAAGAGTCAGTGTCTGTTCTTTGTCACTGAGCCTGGAGCTGCTCTCAGCCTCTGACTGATCAGGTTATTGATCAGGTTATAGATAGGTTTTTGTTCTCCTGAAGTTCTCCTGAAGTTCTCCTAATATTCTCCTGCTAACAGACACTCCTGTCCTCCTCATCTGTGTGTGACAGTGAATCATCACCATAATAACTGTAATTTGAGCAGGTAGAAACACCACAGAAGAAGAGATGGAGCAGAACAAAGAGAGGTGAGGAGGAACCAGAGAGGAGGGCTGTGACATCATCACCGACTGTCAGCCAATCACAGAGCTCCGACACACAGAGAGGGAGAGGAGGGAGAGGAGGGAGGAGGTGATAAATCTTTTTATAGACCAGAAGAGAAAAGTTTTTCGTCAGTTCAGAGCTGACGAGAAGACGAAGAGGAGGAGAACTTAAGGAAGAACAGGACGACAAGTGAAGGAGCACCAGAGGAGGAGAAGTGAAACAGAAGCTGAGGAGAACAGGAGGAGGACTAAAGGAAGGAGAAAGAGGAGAAACAGAGGAAGAAGAACAGGAGGAGGAGGACATGAGGAGGAGGCTGAACCAGGAGCAGCAGGAGGGCGTTTGAGGATAAAATCTGATTGAAAAGCAGAAAAACAGAAACTGAAGGAAAACAAGACGTTTGTTTTTTTAAAACTGTGAGTCTGAATCTGTTTATATTTACTGATGCTTTTATTCTGAAAAACAACTTTTATATAGAAATACACACACACACACACACACACACACACACATATATTTATTAATCAATCAATCAATCGATTTTATTTATAAAGCCCAATATCACAAATCACAAATCACAATTTGCCTCACAGGGCTTTACAGCATACGACATCCCTCTGTCCTTAGGACCCTCACAGCTGATCAGGAAAAACTCCCCAAAAAAAACCCTCGTACTATTTATATTTCCCACTCTTACGATACGATATGTTTCTTTTTCTTAAAGACACGAAGGTAAAACATCCATCATCAACTGTTTAATTATATCGACTGTATAAATATCTGTCCCTCAGTTTGAAGAATCTTGAGTTTCATCCTTGTCATCATTTATCTTATTTTTATTTATATTTATATAAAATCTGTCCACACATGTTGATCTGTACATATACAGGACATATATAAATATAAAGAGATGGGTATGTCTCTCTGAGAGACTCAGACTGAGATGGACTGTTGAATCTTTCAGGTCTCACAGCTCAGTGGTCACATGTGGACCTTTAACGTCTTTAACCCTTTGATATATAAACCAGCTGAGTCTGTTTACAGGAGGGACATGGACGTGTCCAACAATCAGACGACTTTAACCAGGAAACAGTCGGTTTATGTCCCGACTGAAACTAAAAGTCAACGTTGAGTCATCAGTCACATGACCAACATTAGTCAGGATCACCTGTAACTGAGCAGTTCAACCTGATGCGCCTCACCTGTCTACATCATCTGTTCCTCTGTCTCGTTGTTCACATCCTCACTGTGAACTCGTCACATGTCCATGTCCACATATGACGTCCAAGGTACCCTGGGTGTGTTGGTTGTTGACGTTCTGGGACGCCGTGTCAACTTCAGCCTGTTACATGCATTGTCTGTTTTCAAAATACACTTCTGTTTTCACAGGAAATGTACAGTTTGATACAGTCTCTTTCAAAATAAAAGCACTACGTCGGTACAACACCCTTCTACTCAGACTTCTGCGCCCCTTTAACTTTTGTTGTTGTCCCCCCATATTTCCTCCTGATGCTGCCAGGTGCTGTTAAACAATACCAACCAGCTGCTGATCATGCCAACATGAAAGGACAGCTACTTCCATCGTTCTGACATACTGATGTTCTGACGTCCTGACGTCCTGACGTTTTGACATCCTGACGTTGTGATGTCCTGACATCCTTCTGACGTTCTGACGTACTGATGTCCTGACATCCTTCTGACGTTCTGACGTCCTGATGTTCTGACGTCCTGACGTACTGATGTTCTGATGTTCTGACGTCCTGACGTTCTGATGTCCTGATGTCCTGACGTTCTGATGTCCTTTTTTTTTTAATACCTGTCTGCATTAATCTTTGTAGCTTAGCGCCACAAAAGGGTGTAAGCTATTGTGGCCTTGAGGTTGTTGTGCTCCATACAGATTACCAAAAATAAACAAATAAATGTATAATAAAGAAAAGAAAACGGAAAATAAATAAATAAATAATAAAAAATAATAATTAAAAAATAATTAAAAAAAAAAAAACACAACAAAAAAAAACAAAAGAGAAGTCTATACTGAAACCAGAAATGTGAGAGTCCTGGTGGTCGAGGAAAGCCCGATTGTGGAGAAGAGTTGTCAGAGCAGTGTGGTAGGTTTGAGAAGCAACTGCCCCTCCGGCAGGAACCCGCAGAGCTTCCAGGGCGGCATCCAGCCCACCCGCCACAGGGCCACGGGCCCCCCCCCCCCGACACCGGGAAGCAACTGAGCCCCTTTTAAGTGATCCCATCGGTTCTTTGCGATGCGTCATGGAGCTGAAGTATCGAACATGCACGCGTGTATTTGAACCCTTCCAATGTGTTTATGAGAACCATCACCAGGGTCCAGGGTCAATGTCTCAGCCCAGGCGGCCGGTAAGGCACCACAAGGCCGCAGGAGTGCCCAGACCCCACGCCCAGGGAGCCGCAAAGGCCACAGGACACCACGCAGGCCCAAGGACCCGGGGCTGCAATGGCCAGCACCCCCAGAGAGCCAGAGATATACCCCAGATGGGCGGGGCAGGAAGGCCCGCCCACCCACCATCCAACGCAGACCCCCCCAACCACCACCCACACCACCATGATGTAAATGGGCTCCCTGGCTCCAACTCACAGCCCGGGAGGGCCGGGCCTCACGAGCCATACCATGCGTATCTACAGCGTGTGTGTTGACCCACTACCCCCCCCCCCCCCCCCCCCCCCCCC